CCTCCCCGCCTCCGGCCCCGCTGCTGCCCGGTGCTGGGGGTGGGGCGGTGGGCACCAGGTCGCAGCCCCCGGGCGCAGCGCAGCGCAGAGCCGACGGGGCGGAGGAGGCGGCGGAGCCGGGGCCGTGACTTCATCTGTCCTTTCCGCCGGGGCTATTTTTAATGCAGCTCTTTTTAGCAGTGGGCACCCAGCCGGTGCCAATCAGCCCCGTTCCCATGGCGACCACGGGTGTCCCAGTGATGTCAGGATGCCGGGGAGCGCCCCGGGGCACTGGGCAGCGCGCTGGCGCTCCGGACGGCAGCGCGGCGGGGACGTCTCGGGGCGCCGGGGCCGCACTGCCCTGCGCTCCGCGCTGCCTCCGTGGGCTCCGGGATGCAGCTCTTTGCTGAAGGCAGAACCAATGCCTTGAAACTGGACGCACGCGTCAGGTGATGCTTTCAGACATCCCTCCCGTTTAGCCGTCCCCTCCCATGCCCAGGGAGGTACTGCACACCGTTTACACGGCACTAGTCCTGGAGGCCCGGTCTGGCCCCGAGCACGGTGCTGCCGCGGGCTGACACACCGGTGGTGAGCGCCGTGCCCCGGGAGAAGCGGGTGCTGTGCGGGAGACAAGCTGCCGACAACGGGTGGAGAAGAGGGAAACTTCCCACGTACAGATTTGTACACTGCAAGTATTTGATTGTGAATGAGGACAATGGTCCTCAGCTGCTGCTCAACCTGAGTGAGGACGGTTCCCTGGCAGCCCTCCTACAGGGAACACAACAGTCTTTTCTTTAATGGGGGTTAGAAGGAAAACTGCACGCTTTCTTGATGAATCAGTTCAGAGAATATTTCACGTGAAAAGAGTAGTATGAAAAAGGCACAGTGGCCAGCTTAGCAAGCAATAAAAGCTAGTGTGGTCCAAGATGCTGGTTTTTATCTATAAAGCTCTGCATTTCTGGGCCCGTTATGTCTAAGAAACCTCCTTCTCCCTTACGCCCCATCGCAGTCCCCAAGGTTAGCCGATAGCAGGCTCCTCGTGGCATCCGTTCCCCACGGTCCCTTGGCAAACACCGGTGGGAGGTTGCCCGCCCTACTCGCTCCTCAGCTCTGGACATGCCCCCGTGCCAGGGCGACCGGAGTCTGAGCCTGGGCGTCTGCTGGACACGCAGGAAGACCCTCCTATCTGGGCAGCTGTTTAGCAAGCACGACCAAGCTGGGGTGGTGTTTAGGGGGGTTTACATCCTGTCCTACGTTGATATTCAGTTTGCTCTCTTGTGGTCTCTGTCTTGCTGTAAGCCACCCTGAGACTTTGGGAAGGGCAGCGTATAAATCAAGTTAGTCAATACTATTAGCATAAAGAGTTGGGGAAGATGTCTGAGTGTGACCTAACACGCGGCACATACATGAGGAGTCTGGTGCACACTCGTAGAGGGGATTGGTGGTGCATCAGGGCATTAAAATTTAATGTGATGAAAGAAGGAGCCAGGAAATGCTGGAAGTGGAGCGTGCGCGACTGCTGCTGCGATGAAAGGGGTCGGGGCAGGGCCGTTTCCCCCAGCTACAGAGAGGTGATGTGGCTGCTAGAAAGCAGGGCCGACTGTAAGGGCCAGCAGGAAAGGAAAGGGGAGGTTGTCACCTACTTCTCCAAGGGTTATGAGTGGGCTCCTGTTGATTCATGTTTCTCACTTCTCTTTAAAAACCTCTTATGTTGTCCTGTAATCTAAGGTGAGATTACTCGCTAAATAATTGTGATGGCCGCATCACTGTGTTTTCTTCTGTCCCTTTTCCTTCTCGCCTTACACCCCTTGCAGCTTCTCTGAAATCAGTGTTTAATGTTCTTGGAGTAAAGAACTTGCTTTCTCCTTGTACAGGGAAGTGTCATCCGGCTTCTCGGGGTTGGTAAAATAATCATGAACTCAGTGCAAGGTCACTGAATATCATCTGTTCTGACTTCAGTGTAACGCTACCAAACAGCACTTCTCACTCCAGTGAACTTTCATACCCAAGTCTGGCCTTTGGACATAGGCCATTTTTTCCCGGTGGAG